AAACCAGCTGAGGGCCGAATCTGATTGAGCGGTTCGACCTGGCCTGTGTCTGCTCTCTTTTTTTTTCTGCCCTCGCGTCCGACACGTTTGGTGGGCCGGAAGAGATTGATTGGTTGTGGGAGTGAGGAGGTGAAGGACGAGGGGAGAATTCTGAGCGTTGATTTGAGGGGCGGGGCCATTAACCCTTTAACCTCTCTGACTGGCTGAATCAGCGGGTCCAAGTGGGCCCCATCCTGTGGCTGGCGACGCGTTCGCCGCTTCTGATTTGCTGTCATGACGTGATCTCTACTTTTTGTCCGATGTAGCCACCCCTCTGGGCGTGCACGCGCATGGCATGCAACTGTGACTTCCTCGCCTTGGGTGGAGAGGTTGCCAATTGTCCAGTCACCTCCAGGGCTCTTCACTTTCGTCCCTCGATGCGGATGCGCGCCCAACAACCGCTATCCATCATTCATAACGAACTTGCACATCAACTTCATCTACCTGGCTACTCTATCTGAGTGTCCAGCACTTGGAAATTCTTTGGTAATCGACTCCGCCGTTCATCCTGAATATTTCCCACCTTTTGACAGCTTATTTTCCCCGAGCGGTTTCTAGACCGTCCGTCCTGTCAACCTCTCAAATTCTGCGCCCAGGTCTCGACTTTTCCGCATGTGGCAAGGTCTCCATCTGCCACGTTACTTCAGCATTTCCCTCTCTTAAAGCAAGGCTGCACGCACCAACAGCGAAGACGCGGAAACATGAGACGAGAAGAGACTCATCACACTGCTGCTCAATGCCTACCCCGACCGACCACCCTGCCACTGCCTGATGGCTACCCGGACCATCACCACCGGAGGCACGGAGGCTAGGTACCGTATGTACGGAGTACCTACGCTGACCCGACCTGGCCTGACCCAAGCTCCAACACACGCGCAAGCAAGCTGGATCGAAGCTCCCCTGAGCTGCCTGAGCTCGTGTCTATCCTTTACAGCACAGCACCTAGCCCTCAGGCTGCCTCAGACTATCTCCGTCCCTCCTGTTTCTCAACGCCTAGCATCTGGTTTCATGGCCTGTCTGCTGTATGCGAGCGGGTGACGCCACAAATAAGTCGGTCAGCTTCGGCACACAAGCGAAAACCTGATCCGACTTCCAACTGCCCGAGGAATGAGGTCGATCGACAGATTCGTGAGCTGGCACTTTAGCAAGGGCTAATTTTAGCGACCGACTCACTCCAAGCTACCGACTGCTTTCGACTCTGCCTCGTTTTTGCCATCTATCGCCGTGACGGAAGTGGGACACACGGACAGTGCGGAGAAGCCATGGGAAAAAGAAGAGGCGGTGACTACTCCTCTTTTCGCCGGCCGGTCGTGCTAGCCTCCCTCGGCTGTTGGCTCTGGAACGGTGAGGGGCAAAAGTCAAGTTCACGAGAGGCTGGGGATGGGAATACGACGAGCTGTTCCGATGGACATTTGTTTGTCTCTCTGCTCGCAACGGACACAGAAGGACGCGCCGCACTCTCTGGATATGACAGGCCTCTGAAAACCATGGACCCAGTGGCTGTCAACAGGCCAGCTCCTGTGAGAGGGCAAAGCGAGCGCGGTGCTTCGGCTGGGGAATCAAGCCCATCCAACGCCAACATTTGGCTCTGTTGGCTCGCTTCTCACAATTCACTCCCCAATGTCCCAATCGCTCAGGGCACGCACTGTCGATCTCTGGACTGCCACTGGCAAAGTTCCCCCGGCTCCCGCCTGTGCGGCTGGGCCTCCCCTGCAAGAGTCACAGTCTTGAATCTCCGGGCTTTTTCTGGCCCAGCTCCGTCCGCGCCGCACCACGCTTTTCTTCTTCCATTGAAGGCCCACTCTCAGCCACTCTGCCCCACGTGACACACACCGCATTAATTCTCTGACGAAATTCTTTCGACTTCTGAGGCAGCATTACCCTGGCCTGAAATCCAGGTACATGTACATGTGCCTTTGGCATGAGAACTCTTCAGTCTTCCCGCCGCCAGCCAGGCGGGGAACATGGGAGTGACACTCTCGAGGGAGCAGGTTGGCTCGGTTGGGCTGCTCATCTCCTCGTACATTGGCATCGCCAGCAATACGTACTCTTTCGGTTTCTGTAGGGCATTTGATCCTTGGCACCGTACCCAAGGCACCAAGCACAATGACGCTGGATCGCGCTCTGCACAGACCACCATGGATGACTCCTCGACAGTCCACGGCATTACACGCCAAACGAGGTATTCTATCCAGCAAAGCAAGGCAGACCAAGAGCCCCAAGCAAGCTGGACACTGACTCTGTCTCCCAGAGAGTCGGTGTGACGGGATGGATGATGGCAAAGGGACCCAGCAGACAAGACGGGCGCGTCCGCCGTGGTTTTGTTCGTACTGCAGCCGTTCGACCGTGTCCCTCCGAGGTCTAGGAGTCGCAAGACCTGCATCCGGCCGCTCGGAGATAGCTACTTACAGAAATATGACTGCAGGAAAGTACCTCCGTACATGCAGTTGGTGTATCAGAGGCTTGGGCTGTCTCACGAGCTGACAATCGTGGTGGGGTTTGCCGGGTTCGTCGGTCGTCGCACCCGCGCAGCGCAGCGCGTGGGGAGACATCTGCTCACTGCAGGTCTCTTGCCGTGCTTGCACTTGACTCTGAAGAAGTCAGGTGAGCACGAAGGCCGAGAAGAACCCGGTTTGAGTCTTGAGAGTTGCAGTCACGAGCGTCCATATCTCTTGGGTTGCTGATAGCCACAGAAGGAGCCTTTGGCTGGCTCACCTCACACCCTGACACGAATATGCGGCGGTGGACGCGACACACAAACGATTGGATGAGAATTCGCCTCGTACGAATTATCTGAGTGGTTGGAGACGCGGCATTTCTGCCGCTGCCTAGTGGTCAGCTGCCTGCTTTTTCCCTGATTCGAGTGGGTGGGAGGGCGTCACGCCTCTCTGAGGGGAGCCACACGGACGCATGCACTGGGCCCGTCTGAGGACGAGGCAAAGAGGGAGATTGCCCGGCATCTGACCATTGGAAGTTATTGTTGCTGCGGATCACCAAATCAACAACGCCTGGTGTGATGAGACGGGCTGATGGCCATTCAGTCAGCCTTTACGAGATGCCGAGCCTCCTTGAGTATCGACTTCTTCACACTCCGCGTGTTGCTCCAACACCACCCATGTCATCCCTCATCTCCAGTGCTGTTCCAGGCCCTTCCGGGAACCAGACAGACGTCACAGCGGTCGATACTCTGGAACACGGGCTTTGACGCGGCTCACTTCTCATGTCGCCCTCATCATCAAATCACCCGGGCGTTAATGCGAGCAGCAATATCACCTGTCGTTTTGATTATCCAGAGCAGCATTTTCCGCATGGAGGTTTGTTGTGTTTACTTTTGGATATCTGCCCGAATGCCCAATCCTTCGTCGGCCAGAATCCCGTCAGCCAGCGCGCCTGCCAAGTCTGCCTGATCTGACAACACGGGAAGGGAAGAGCGATCTACGGCACATGAAGCTGGACGCCCAGCCAGTGTGAGCCTCCCGGCAGGACGCGTTTTGATCGCCAGAGTCATCAGACGAAAAGACACGCATGCAGGGCAGACAAGTCGATGCACCTCTGGGCCTCAAATGCCAATTTCGTAGCCCAGCGAACGCCCGTCCCAGCCGTTGCCTTCACAAGCTCCCGCAGAGGCGCACGCCACAGAGCCTGTCCCGCACTGAGGAGGCATGGACATGTCCCGCCAGAGCCATTTTCTCGCATCGGTCGCACGCGTGCGCGCCCCCCGTCGCTCCCACAAGCCGTGTGACTTGATCCTCGTCCTTCATTCCCGCGTTCTTGCCTTTTTGGGTGGAGAACCTAACGATAATGAGACGTGCAGTTCGCGAGACGCGGCATGCGTCTTTATTCTGAGATCGTCGTCTTCAGGGACGACTTCAATCACCCGTGGGAGAGATATTTCCACTTTCCAGGGAACGGCCGAGCATGGAATCGCGTAGAGTTGCTTGCTCCTCGACGACTGCCGTCCCCTGTCGTTCGCGAATCGCAGAGGAGGGGGTCAACCTAGGTTGCAGCTTTGTCGCGACGAATGAGAGGGCAGTGCTGTACTTCTGGTTTCCTATTCGGCCACACTGCTCGAAGCTTGTTGGATCATCGTCGCAAACCTGCCTTTTCACAGTCGCATTCGGAGCACGGCGACAGTCGAGGCGAGCCGGTCTCCGGAGACCGCGCAGAATATTGACAATATCGCAGGGTTTCTTCGCGAGGCGCTGCACGCGATGCTAGGTTTGATGATTGGCATTTGAGTCCCTGGATGATGAATTACCACCGGTCGTCACAGCGGACAGAGAACGTGTCTAACGCGTCTTCAATCTGCTTGTCGACATTTCAAGGGCAATGCGCCACCTCGTCCGGACCCATGAACTGAACAAACAAAGTAAACGCTCAGTTTTTCAAGATGCCTCGTCGATGATGCAAAGCATGGTCTTTCGGTCCCTGGTGGTTCCTGGCGCTTAGTAGACCCACGCGCGCGGCCGCCGTCAACAATCCCATTGTTGTTTATTGGTGGTGAAGTCAGTTAGTCCTGTCAGCCTGTCATCACGACCCCCTCCGCCCCTCCGCGGGAAGGATTCAGTGACGGCGGCGGCGGCGCAGCCCGTGCCCGCCGCCCGCGCGCCGTCTATTCTCGGGAAGCCTATCGTTGGGCCGTGTTTGTGTGAACGGCGTCAGCGCTTATGGTGGACTTTCGCATTTTTGAAAGGGTGGGAGGGGGAGGGATGCATGGTGTTTCGGTCACGGGATCCATTCTAGTTTGGTGTGTGAGGTTTCCTTTCGTTGGTGGGTGTTTTCATGTGATCTGGTGTTGGTGCGAGACGCGACTTCGCTCCACCGCCCTCGAAAACTAAAATTTTCTCTGGTGTCGAGGTTTCCAAGCCCGAGGGATAGCTGGGGACAACTGGAAGCACAAGTGAATGGGCAATGCTTTGCTGTGTAGATGCAGCGTGACAGTGGGCAAAAATGCAAAAATGTTCCGAAACCGAGAATCGAACTCGGGGCTATGCCTAACCTCGCGTCAGAGATGAGAGGGCATCATGTTGGCCACTACACCATATCGGATATTGATGAGAATCTCAGCAGGGGAAATTGCATATGACTCGATGGGCGTGGGAGGCGGGTCCGCTGTGGGTTGTGGAGTTTTGGCTGGCGGGATGTTGCTTGTGAGGGTGATGGTATGACCGCAGAGGTTTGCTCCCGAGGTTGGGTTGTGTTTATGGTACTTTGTGTTGATATGTTGAGACTTGAGGACAGAATCTAGATTTTTGCTTCTCAGTGGAAGAGTTTGCGTGAGATCCATGGATGGCAGTATGATATTTATTTTGGATCCTAAAGAACGGATTGATTTTGGGAGTTGTATATTCTTGTCTATAGTCTGAATCAAGACTTTGCACAACGTCTGGTTTGTCCTTGGTTATAGCTAAGCAAATAGTTGTGGCATGTCACTCATGAAATGACTCAAGCTTTGCGCCAGGCTCATTAGACGAGCAGCAGAACCAAATTTCCCCCTGCTGAAAACCCGTTCAACAACACACGTCTTCGTGCTTGTTCCAGTGTAGGTGCTGACTTATAACATCATCTCTCACTTCCTCCAACAATTCTTCTAACCTCTACACGACTTTCAAGCATCAACCAACTTATGCTCCCTCGGCCTCAACCTCACCAAAAGCGGCCCCTTGTCGTACACGTTAAACGCGCGCTGGCCCGCGACCCAGTCATCCTGGCCGGGCTCGAGCGCGACGTCAAAGTTCCAGAGGAAGCGCGCCACGACAAGGCGCATCTCCGCGTAAGCGAGGTTCTTGCTGATGCAGTCGCGCGGGCCGGCCGCGAAGGGGCGGAAGGAGGCCTTGTTGTCGGCGGCGTAGCGGGCCTCGTGGAGGGGGTGCGCATCGGGCAGGAAGCGCTGCGGCTTGAAGGCGTCCGGGTCGGTGAAGTTGCGCGGGGAGTGGTGGGTTGCCCACTGGTACACGGAGATGTATGTCTGTGAGGATAGATTTAGCGATGTGAGTTTAAGTGAACAGAAGTGTTGAGAACTTACGCCCTTGGGCACGAAGCGGCCGTCGATGTAGTCGCCGGGCGAGATGCGCGGAGGCGTCTCGGCGGCCGGCGGGTAGATTCGCAGAGTCTCCTCGAGGCAGGCGTGTAGGTACTGCAGGCGTGCCGTGGACTTCATGTCGATCTCCTCCTCGCTGGCAAACGCGTTGCGGATCTCATCCGTCAGGAGACGGTACACCTCAGGCGTGCGCGTCAGATGGAAAGTGAGGCCGCAGAGTGCGGTGGCCGTGGTCTCGCTACCAGCAATGATGAGGGCGTGCGCGTTTACGTGGATCTCCTCATGGTTCATGCCCTTCCCGTCCTTGTTGTTGCGGAGGATGTACGTCATGAAGTCCTTGCGCGTGTCGGAGCCGAGGGCGAGCCTCTTGTCCGTCTTCTCGCGCGCCAGGTTGTCGGACTCGATCTTCTTCTCGATGTCCTTCTTGTCGATCATGAAGAAGAGCAGCGGGCGCAGGACGGGGTACTGCGAGAGGAAGTTGAGCTTGGCGCCGGCCTTGATGGTCTGGAACAGCATCGCGACCCAGGAGTGGTAGTTGCTCTTCTCGAGGGAGTAGAAGGGGTCGCCGAAGGCCAGCTCGCCGATGACGTCGAAGGTGAAGTAGTTGAACCAGCGCGTCATGTCGAGGACGTTGCCCGCGCGCGCCTGCTCGCCGAGGCGAGCGATGAGCAGGTCGACGTAGTGCTTGATGAAGCCCTCCTGCTCGGTGAGCGCGGGGCGTGCGCCATGAGGCGGTTGGGGGAGATGCGGACGATGGGGCCGTACTTTTCGTGGAGTTTGACGGTGTCTTTTGTGAAGGTGCCCAAGAGCATGTTCTGCGTGAGGAAGGGGAGGTGGGATGCGGCGTAGAGTTTTGGGCCGGGGAAGCTGGCGAGGGGGTGGAAGAAGAGCCTGTAGATGACGATGCCGACTCTGTAGACCACGCCCTGTTGAAGTTGGGGTTAGTGTTTGGTAACTAGTTGTTCGATATCAGACTTACAGCAGTGACGAGGAATAAGATGGCCGAGCCAAGTGTCAAATTTGACGTGACGGCATCTTTCAAGGCTGGCATTGTGGCGGTTGACAGACTCGTGTATGAGTTTGTCAGAAGGTTGAATGACAGGACGAACACAGAGCGTGGAAAGCCAGACTTTCTCCCTTGGACTTAAAGAGTCTCGTCACAAGCAAGATCTGTCGATCTGCTCAACCCCTGCTGGACGAACTCCCGCCATGCAATGGCCCGAGCCGTCGACGACTGCCGTGCCGGACGATAGCCAAATGCCCGTGTCCGAACTTGGCTGCAACTATGATACAACCTCAGGTACCACTCCGCAATAGCTCCGCAGCAAGTCCGCAAAGGTTTATGCATCGGACTTTGAATCCGCTGGACGTAGAGCGATGATCGGCTTTTCGGCTTTTCGAGCCCCACTTCCACCTGCCGGGGCCGGGTTGCTTTCCCCGGGGCACGACGCAACGGCGTGCGTCTAGGCTCCGACCGGATACGAACACGGAGGAAATGGGGTCGTTGACTCGTGTGCTGCAGGTACGGAATTCGGAGTCGAGCCCTTACAAGATGCTCAGCATTAGCTGGAGACGTATGTTGTGTGCAGAATGGTCTTGCACCTTTGGAATGCAAAGCTAGTGAGTCGGGGGAAACGCCCCGAGAAGTATGTCAAGTTATGGTTGCTTTATTGATTAACTTGTGAATGTCTTCTCAAAATACATCCCGCTATGTCTAGGCCGCGCACAATCTACGCGTTCATATGTACATCTTCGTCGTAGCTAAAGCCCAGTCACGTTCGAGTACGCTGCTTGCCTCAGATAAAAGCGCAGCCAAAAGACGCAAGTGAGAAACCGACACCTGCTACCGGATGAATTGCGGAAATAGCACCGGCCATGGCGCCACCGATACCAGCGATACCGGCACAGATGTCGCCGTCAAGGCTGTCCGTCTCGGGGTGAGAGAATCCGACATTGAGGAAGGATTTGAAGCCCGTCTTCTCGTCCTCATAACGAACATTGACATGATCCGTGGCCTGCCATTGCTCAGCGTAGAATTTGTCCTTGTCTATTCCTCCCCTAAATTGGTCAGTCACGGCTCTCGATTACCATGGCAGGGGTAGAGAAGATTGAAGTCCGAGTGGGGATGAACTTACGGATGCAGCCGTTCTTAGTCTGCTGGCATGGTTTGGTGTAGTAAGGAACGTTCTGCTCCAGTTTATGCTTTCCCTCGTCAAACATCTTTCTCATTACTGTTTTCGCCATCTCGACAAGATGAGCTTTATCGCCAGGTTCTCCGGCGCTAGCGAAGCTCCCTTCAACAGTGAGAACCATCTCCGTCTCTTGGCCCATATTACCAGCACCGATACGCATAGATTTAGCCTTGACGGGTTCCCCCGGCTTGCAGCTCAACTCTCCACACTGGTCGAGAATGGCATTGAGAGTAGCTGAGGGCAAGGCGGTCCCATAGAGAATCAACTCGTTGCCGACCTCAACCTTGACGTTTCCGCCCTTGTCACTCTTCCAAGTCTCGCCGTCGCGAGTTTGCAGAGTCGCAGGATAGGCGATAGCGGGGACGGCCGCGGTCGCAAGCGCGATGGCAATGGTAGCAGCGGAGGTTTTCATGGTGATGAAGGGGTGTGCAAGAGGGTTTGGGAGACAGAAGAGAAACTGGATTAGATAAGTAGGAAATGTTGATGATGAAGAGAATGATGGTGTTTGTGATGAGAATGAGAGAGAGAACCGTGTCATACGCGGCATACCGCGCTCATTTTATACGCAAAAAGTCTGTCCATTGCTCCCATCTATCCTAGCACTCACCAAGTTCCCCCCTTCTCGCTCGTGTCTCTATTTTCAGCATCTTTCATCTCTTAGAGGAACAGGTAGGCCTGGCGAGTGCTGAAGTTGTGATTTAGGCAGTTGAAACTGGGTCGTCACTCGGGCGCTCCCGCTGGCTCGCCTAATGAGCCACAGGGCTGAGGTTCTTGGCTACCATGTGAGGGACACATAAAATAGCGTCTGGTCTTGGATTTTGGGGATGCAAGTAATTCTCATGGTCTTCATCGTGCTGCGGCTTAGCTCAGCTCGGAAAATAAGTCCTGATGCCAGGCAGCAGTATGGTTCCATTGTCTTATGCCAAGACTTGGCGAACTTGCGCAGGACCGGCTGTGCTCCTGTGCCTCATGATTGATTGTCGGCGGTTATTAAATCGCAGGTCTCTATTTTGAACCTATGGAAGGGTGTTAATCAGGTGGAACACTTGACAAGGCGTCATGTTCTTGATAATTCAATCCAGAAAGATGCAAAATTTTCGTGTAAATGAACATTAACTATGGGGAAAGGCATACATGAAGAGGAAAGGAATGCTCATCTCCGCAGCAATGAAGTGAGACCTGCATTAAGCCCATTTCCTTCAGCGATTCAAGTCTATTACAAGCTAAACGTCCGTCATCCACAGAATTCTTGAATAGCCTGCTCGGTATCCGCGTCGTTCGGGTCTCCAGCCGAAATTCTCAGGGCCTCTTTCACATCTTCCAGAGTCGTCTTTTCAGCCGCATGTCTGGAGCGGCATAGAAGCGACGCAAGCCGTAATACGTTCTTGATACGACGTCCATCCATTGGCAAGTTCCCAAGCTTTGCGAATTCTTCTTGAGAAATAGTATGCCCATCTCTTTCGGCAAGCTTGGTCCAAATCAACGTTCTCTGCGGAGTTTGAGGTTTTTCGAATTCTAGGCGAACGTGAATTCTAGAAAAGAAGGCACTATCGAAATCTGCGATTCTGTTGGTAGTGAGAAAAAGAATACCAGACTGGTATTCCAACATTCGAAGAAGAACTACGAAGTCAAACCAATTAGGATTTTGCAGAAGATCGACGAAATTGATACTTGACTTACTTGACACTAAGGCATTACGCTCGATGCTGTCTCTACTCCGCTGCGCCATGAATGTGTCTGCCTCATCAAAAAGCAAAACAGCACCCCATCGCTGCATTCGCTTAAATATGAGACGCAGGTTGGACTCGATCTCCCAC